CCAAATATCTATTCAGTCAAATTTGGTGATATTTTATAAAGTCTCTCTTCACCAAAATCCGAAGGTTTCTTTTTCCAAAGTTTTTATCAACTCAGATCTAAAAACGCTCTTTGACAAAGTCATTCTCAGTATCTATGGTCATAAATATTATACAAATCATATCAAATCAATCCAATTCAAGACACATCATAACAATCCAAATCAAGCCAAAAAATATCAATACACATCATATCATATCATATCATATCATATAAAAAAAAAATAAGAAAAATTATACTCTAGAATAGAATATTATATCAAGTTAAATCAAATCAAAGCAAGAAAAAACAAATTATAAAAAAAAAGTAAAAAAGCAAAAAAAAAACTAAAAAGTAATCAATGGAATGGACTGGCATTGGACTTCCCCCCTCTGGATCTGGACAAGGCACGAAGAAGAAATATACTAGCTAGTAAAATATGATGCTGACCTGCGACAGCATATACTGGGATTTGGACCATCCCAGATTATATATTTATATTTTAGAGTAGATCAAATTTTCAGATTATTATTTGTATTGCTGTGAATAAATCATCAAGTTCTTTGATAGTCTAGCTAGAATATTGTACTATTAATGTAAACAACATAGTTAACGTCAATCAAAACCTGCTTTATATTGGCTGTATAAGTATAAGAATCTATTTTGTATTCTGTATTTATTAAACACTTCTCTGCTATATTTTAATTAATTTCTTGAATCTTTACTTATAACCAGCATTTATATAATGTTTTAAACACATATATAAGACATTTATGCTCTCATTGGGTGAAAATAGCTTTCTTTTTCTCAAATAAGGAGTATTAATCGAAATATTTACAGTGGTTTCTCAATAATTTCAAGGCTACTAGAAAAGCTTCTGAAAGCATAAGTAATGAATCGCAGACCTCTCTTAATAAAGTCTCGTATCATCTCGTATAATATATATATACTAGCTTAGAGCTAGTACATGTGTTTTATTAAAAGAAAATTCAATTTGCTTTAGATAAAGATATACCGCTTCTATATGCCTTTTAACCAGCTAAATATATATTTAGAGCTCTAAAGCAATCCCAAGAGATATGTAAATATTATATCAATATATGGTGTATTTCATTTGAAAGTTTAATATTGAGTATAAAATCTGTTATTTTTCCAAGTTATCTTATTACGTCGGAAACTAATATATTGCATATATAATAATTTCTTGAAGAGCACAAACCAAAAATTGTATATACATTGGCTTTAACCTTCTAGCCCTCATATCATGTTCCACGTATGCCAAAATATTCTCTATTAGACTCAGATCAGGGCTGTCTATAGGCTATTTCTTAAAAAGAAACGTTTACATTATTTTTATATTATTTTATCAACACATCTTGATAACATAGTAATTTATTCTCTTAGAAAACAAACTTGACATTTTCACTTTGCCTAATACTTCAAGAGTAAGAACGTGAGGTTACAGTAAAAGAGTATTATGTACTTTTGCTGATTCGATGTACAATTATCAGTTCCAAGCTTTTTCACAAATCTAGCCTGAACTTACAACCAGATCAGCATTTAACTTCCGCTTAACTCATATTCCTGGGAACAAATACATTATCCTGAATATATGTTTTAAAATGCACCATATACACTCATACATTGCTTTAGAATAGTTTATGAATCTGGACCCACCGATTCAGATTACCCGATTTCAAAGCTGATTGTAATAACAAGCAAGACTTTCAAGTGTTAACCTGTTTACAATATACATGCTTTTTTACGCAACAGACTTCTTTGCGGCAACACAAGATCATATACCATTTTTTTTAAAAAAAATAATTGCAAAGAGTTTCCCTCCTGATTGATCCATATGAAGATTTATTGATTACATCTATAAAAACATATAATGTTGTGAGTCGATCATTGTGCACAATGTTTTTCAAAGATCTCAAGTCATGATCATTCAATTAAGCAGGTCTTTTGATTTTTTTTGCTAAGAGCAGTCCATGTTCTATTCACTCTTTTAATAATTGCTATTACTGTTGTGTATCAGAGATTATATTTGCATGTAGCCTTTAACACAGAAATGGCAAATTCATTCGGATCACTAATATTGTCTTTCACATAATCTGAATATTTAGGATATTTTTTATATGTTTGTTTAATGATTTTAAAAAATGAGCATATTTGATTAAGAATACAAGTAAAAAACAACAATGGGTAATGTTTTTCTCAAATTATTCTTTTTTGTAATATTTCTATATTAGCTCTATATCAATGTATGTATATATATAAGACAGGCTGTATTGGATTATGCGATAAAGCAGTCAAAACGATTGTCAGAAAAAGAGAATATATGTCGATTTCCTCTAACAGCTCCTTAGCTCAGATATTTGCAGTCGCCAGCTTGTTCTCTTGAGAGAAATTTAGAAGTAATATACGAAGATCGTCTCTATTGCTTTCATCTTTTGATGCTTTCATTAATATCTTGATAGTTAATTATATAAGGTAGTCTGAAAGATATTGAAATAGAATATGCCTCTGAATAATCAGTGATTAATAAGAGAGAGGAACAGAGATGTAAATAGTTCAAAATTTTCGGGACTCATTATTCCAATTCTTATAATTTCAATGGATATATGTTCCATCTATAATAATTACGCTCTTAATAAGAGCACAACTTGTTCAATTTGTTTATAGAATTGATATAAGAAAGGTTATGAAAGATATGATACGCTTGGGCTGGCTGGAAGTTTGAAACCACATCAAATGTACTATTATTATGACAGTATTTCTTCAAGTGAACACACTACCATTGTCAAAAAATATTTAAAAAAAAATATGGTTTACACACTACACACCCATTTTTCTTCTGTCTTTCACTTCAATCAAATCAACTCACTTCTGTCTCACCCTACTTACATATCATATTAATCTTAGTATAGTGTTACTCCATGCAACTAGTATAGTCAAAGCTTGGTTAAGTAACATTTTCTTGAGTCTTTTTATTTGCAGCCTCATAGCACAAATATGTAATATCACCAAGAAACATAAGCTAAATAAGAGAAAAAATTCATTTGGCATAGTAATAGTAATATGCTTGCATTCTCCCAAGTGTATTAATAACTTTAGCTTTGACTGTAAGTAATTAACTACATGACATTGCCTAATTGCATACATGAGATGAAGAAGAATTACGAAGGGGCCACTATACTATTTTCTTTAAATAAATTTAACTTTTTTCTTTTTTTTTCTTTCTTTCAAAAACTATATATTTGAATTTATGTGTTTTCAGACGAGGGTTTGAGACATGCTATGTTGGTTTGTGCGGTATAAGGGTTGGTAAAAAAAAGGTACAAACAAAAAAGGGGTGGTCAGATCAACAACTCATAGATTTTGCACCAAATAGCGGTGCTCTTCAGATCAAGAACCAGGGGAATTTAGGATTAAACAGTTTTTTTTTGAAATAAGTTAATAGAAGGTCATTGTGATAATTTAATAATTTTAATAATAGTATTGGGGGTAATTGAATATGGGTACTTGTGATAATTAGAACGGGAAGATAAAACTATGGAAAGAAATTTGATATGAGCAAGTCATGAAGGGAGTAAAAATAAGGAGATACTTAAGATAGAATATATTTGGAAGCTTGTTAGACTGTTACTCGCGTTGACCAGATATGAATATATCAAATGAGTGTGGCTAAAAACCGATCTTGTCCGAAACCGACTGTGTAAGATTGTTAGGTGAAAGAAGACCAACTAAAATAAAAAAGACAAAGAGGTTGTACTATTAGTTTCTCATAAACTGATAATCATGATGACCATTATTGGTACGAGTCTATATACATATACATATCTTGGTTGTAAAATAAGTTTTGACAAGATTTCAATACTGAATATTGTATTGAAAATTGATTTGTATACTTTTAAAGTATATCCGATATATCCCAAAAGTAAAAAAAATAAAGATTTTTTTGTCAAGACCTGCGCTTGAAGGCCGATCCACTCAAGTTTACACCCAAGCTTCTCAACAACCCTCATTCCTGCCTACTCGGCATGGCATCAAATTTACCATGACGGCAAAGTATCGGTGAAATGCTTTAATGCCAAACTGCTCGGGACAGGTGTCTGAGACACCCAAGTGAACAGCATAGCATTTACTTAGGCACCTTAACTTTGCTTCGGGTTCGTCCCTCATGTCCAGTTCTGTTTACCAGAGCGTGGGTTACAAGTGTCAAAGTCTAAGCAATGAGGGACTTGAAAAGCACAGGGATCATTTCAACAGGAAGCAGTAAAATACAGGCGATTGTACTGGGTAATCTGTCGATTCTGCTGGAATCTACCTGTATTACCTCACGTCCAGGTGCTCAACGAATTTAAAAAACTCTACGCATCCAGGTGATACACCCTTATACTTGCACCTTTCTGTGACAATCTTGACATGCCCCAAAGGACAAAATCTGGAGAGCCAATATCCAACGTCCTAAGAAAATAGCATAAAGCTACCTCTGCGTTCCTCAGTCTTCTCCATGTTATGTGCCGCACAACACAGAAAAAACTGACGTGGATTTCATCCGGCTTTCGCCTTCATATGAGTGGCTCAGGAAGGTCTTTAACGTCCAGTATGCTCTACACTAAGAGCTACTTTCCCTTACGGTACTTGTGTTCAGTTGGTTTTTTATAAGTATATTTAGCCTTCGATGAAACTTTTCACCAGGATTAGGGAGTTTGTAAAACAACCCGACTCATCGGAAGCTACTTAACACAAAGACAAGAACTCAAGACAAGGTGAGGGGATTGCACCCTCCAGTAACCTTTTCCAGGGAGTGAAGGCTACTGACTTGTTGGTATGCCTGGAAAAGCAGTTCACTAGTTCACAATCCAGAGCAGTCAAAAGACTACTCCGGTTCAAACATTGGAGCTTCTCCATCTCAAACAATAAAGTCCAAGACGGAATCCCTTTTGGTTTCTTTTCCACTGCAGTAAATGCAGGTAGAATCGCTCAAAGTACGGACCAATTTTAGGCCATGGTACCTTGAGCGAACTCAATGACTAGACGCCAAAGAGTGCAGTGCGTTCAATAAAAAAACCAGAATCTCATATTAAGACAAGCCTTATAAATAAGGCGTCTACAATGAGCGAGTTGGAAAAGAGCCCGGAGACTCACTGTTAAAGACCATGATATACACATTTTGCATGAAAATGTTTACGTATATTCCTTTTGATATATCGTGACCGATAGAATACGAGGTACTCAGTGACCACTCCAAGAGTAGAGATATAAATAAAAATCGAGTATAAGGTTAATATACTTATTGTGTCAAAGTGTGTGCGCGTGTACGTTTACTTACCTAGCTGTTAACTGCGAAGGGTGTAAAATACTGAGCTGGTTCTCGGTACACCTCTCCATAAGCATACTTTGAACACTATCAAGAGAATAAAGTAATATAAAAGTATAAAGTGAGTATGTTAATTGAGTCAAAGTATGTATATATTGACTTACCACTCAGTGGACCATACATGGTATGAAGGCACCATCAAAAGAATGGTGGTTAACAGCTAAACAGAACTAGAAACTGCAATAGAAAAAAAGAAAACATCAAATCATAGTTAGCGTGTTGATCGTGTCAAAGTATGTGTGTATGTACGCGTTTACTTACCTAGTAAACAGCAGCGGAAGGCTTGAAAAGTACTTGTGCTAAAAAGCAAGACGGGACGGGACACTGGACACTGTGATAAAATAAAAGAAATATCGAATCATAGTTAGTGTATTGATCGTGTCAAATCGTGTGTGTGTTTGCTTACCTAGCAGATAACTGCATAGGGTTTAAAAAAGTACTTGTGCTTAAAAGCAAAACGGCACTGGACACTGGACACTGTGATGAAAGAAATAAAACATCAAATCATAGTTAGTGTGGTGATCGTGTTAAAGCATCTGTGTGTGTATTTACTTACCTGGTACATGAACTTAACGTGAAGGACCTCTCCGTGGCTACAGTGGAATGGAAGCTGGACATAGAAGACAAAAAAAAACATGCGCAAGAAAAAACTGTGCTGTAGTTAGTATATTGACCGTGTCAAAATTTGTATGTGTCTGTATAATACTTTACCTGCTATTAGACTGGACATCGGCTTTGGAACTTAGCTAGAAACCGCATCTGGGGTGCGTTTCCATGGTAAATATCAGTATGTGCCTTATAAAAATGGAAAGATATAGGCATTTAAAGGCGACTTTCTTACCGTGTCGGAAACCAAGGACCACCGAAAGGAAACCAGGAGGAAGAGGGGGGAAAACAGGAAATAGGAAATTGTATCGATTCTTATATGAGAAAAAATGGGGATTGCGCAGCACAGAAGGCGTAAACTGCCTATTTTGGGCAAATCAAAACAAATTCATGTGAAAATTTATGGGGATTCATGTTTTCAGTAAAAGCTCTATGATTTTTTTTATATACTACTATTATAGACCTCTTGGTATAGTCTTATAGATGCTTTGAGTATTAGATTGCTTTAAAGAACCTTTGTATATCTTTGGGTAAATACGTTCTTTGAATGCTTATACTCACACTACTGAGAATCATGCTTTTTAGAATTCTCAAAACAAATAAAAATAGCCTATGTAACCTTCCGACCATAATTTGTCTACTTTTAATTAACAGAACATCTCGAAAGACATAGACATAGAGAAGTATTACTACTGAGATAACAATAGCATGTATTTATAAAATAAAAGAATATTTTACCAGTTCTCAAAAGGGTTTTTTCTATTTGAGTTACGCAATTTAACATATATATAAAATATCTTTTGCGAGCTATAAACATAAAGTTTTCTCTTACTTTTAGTCGATTGAAATACTGTTTGTATAGAATATATTTGCACGTCTTAGCTAACATGGCATATTTTTTATGAAACTATCTTTAAAAGCAAACTTAAATCGTATATATATAATAGCAAAAGTATAATTAGGAAAGCAAGAAATGAAACATCTTTTGAACATTGTAATACATATACATCTTTGTAAGTAATATTGCGTTGAAATAATAGCAAAGTTACTCGAGGTCTTCTTTTTAAAAGAAGAGGTAATATATATAACCTATAGCTACCATCATTATTCAGCAGTATGTATGTTCTTTTTTTTTTACCAATTCACATATATATATACATACATAAATATATATATATTCAGAACATCCTCTTGTGAGTTTCGGCAAAATCACTGCTCTTGTTGAACGTTTATCTTATTTAGAAAATAAGAAGCTTCTTATAACCCAACTACAAGAAATTCTCGCAATTGCTACTTTTCTTCAAAGGTGTTAGGAAGCAATTTCTATTATCAGCTGTTTTTATGACTAAGTCTCATTCGCCTTTTTCTATTCCTCTCAAATCTATCATAGTTTAAATCCAAGCACCTTTGAATAATAAGTATATGAATAGAAACACATGACATACATGCAATATAGATATTTATTATTCTTTCTATTTTCTGCACAGAAGCCTTTCTCCCAGCTACCCGGTTTTTTTATTTTGGACTTACAAGAGATATGTCCATAAATACACTCTCACACTGTGCATATTGTTCTGACAAAATTAGTACTGACAAAATTCTGTGCCAGTGAGTTGACTAGTTCCTTTTTGTGTGTACGATGCTTTACAAGCTGATACCCTAAAGAGAACAAGCTAATTGTGAAATTATATATTTCTTAGCGGTCACTGGATTAATCTGCAATTGTTTTTCAGCCATTGCCCTCAAAATTGGGAGAAACGGCTGTCTTAGAAGTGTTGATCTATGTAAAGTAAACAAATCAATTTGCTAACTATCTTGCGGTCAGACCAGATCTTTATCCTGAGGGAGATTACCATATTTCTATATGTATAGAAAGAGATATAATTTAGTGTCCAAATGTAGGAAAGCGCAAGCACAATATTCTGAGGTCTGTTTTTAAGTAAGCAGCTTTCAAATATTTTACTATCCATTTAAGATACTATGAACCAAAACGAGTATAAAAATAATATGCTATAAAGCTTCATTATCTATACTAGTAAAATGTGCCAGAATAAAAAGAGAAAAAGCTTATACTTTAATAATAAAATAGTAAAACAGTAGCAACAGAAACTTTACTAACTGCTATGAAAACTTGTAGAAAAATGGTTAACAAATCGAGAGTTTCAAGTACTATAGGCAACTCAAGACTCGTATAACAGTAAGAGTGTAAAATAATAGATACACTTTACTTTTTTTTTGCTTGTTTCTACAAAATATATATATTTTATATGTAAAATCAGAAAGCCATAAGGATTTATTGTAGCACTTTTTTTTGGAATTTTACTACCGCCAATATTTTTTTTTGTACTGTTTAAAAGCCTTTTAAGGTGAAACTTCGTTTACTTTTCTGCAACTCGTTTTTTTAATAAGATTAAGTTTCAATATTTAAGTAGGGAAGCCAAAAGAATACTTTATGTATATATATTTTTATAACTATACAATTGGGGTGGACAAGTGAAAAAGGTCGAAATGAGATAAACTAATCATATTAATTTACGACTGTCCCCCTTTGGACTCATGGCAACTTGATAAAACAAAGGTTACTTAGGTTGGCAAGGTTGGTGAGACAGGAATGAAAGTGGATGCGTGATTGATTGATTGTTTTTGAGTATGAGTTTTTTAGGCAAAAATTAGCTTATGCGAAAGTTAACAATAGGACTTTTTCTCGAAAAAATTCCATTTTTTTAATTCCTTCTAATCCAATAATACTGCAAAAAAAGTCAAAAAAAAATGAAAAGTGGTAAAGAAGCGGTTATCTTTACCAAATTTCCGAAAAAAAAATTATGAGATGCAATGCCTTGAACTTCATTATCTCTTTTTGCTAAAAAAAAACTCCTTTTTGCTAAAAAAAAAACTCCTTTTTTCTTAAAAAAAGAAACCCCCACAAAAAAGTAGATCCTTTTAAACAATTCCAAATTTCTGAATTTTATTTTTTTAACAAATACATTTACTCAAAGAAGAAGTAAATTTTCTAAGAAAAATTCCTATTGTCCACTGACACGAACCTTACCGACCTAAGTAACCTCTGTTTTATCAAGTTGCCATGAGTTCAAAGGGATCCACCAACACGAACGCTTTCAAGACAGTTCTTCCTCGACAGACTAGGCCGGCAAAATCGTCGGCTGACCAAATGTTTTGCGACCCAGAGAACACTCGACTAAAAGCCATTTTGGGCGAGGCGCTTGCACGCGCAGCCATGCACGAAGAACAGCAGAAAGTTTTGCTTAGCAAAATAGATACAGTTGTCGCAAACTCAATTGCACTTCAAAAACAGAGCAGCTCTCTTATCGAGGAGCGCCGCGTCGCAAATGAGCACGTAGAGTTCCTACACAACCAACTTCAGCTTCAGATACAAGTACCTGGTGCTTCAACCTTCACCACCATCGTCATCCCGTCTACAAAGATTGCCCCTGTTAAGAATGCCTCAGCGGATGGCTCTGCCCTTGGTCCTGCCACTATCCCCACACCCTCATCCACAACATTTTTGGCTGCTGCCAAGAAGGCGATGAGAAAGAAGCCCAACCAGCCCAAGCTCACCACTGCCTAAGCTGCCCGCGCCCTCCAACCCGAAAGTGGACCATTTGCGTATGGATTTGTATACCTGTCTTGCCGCCACCACCTCAAGTACTCCCAAGTACGAAAGCTTTTGAGAACATTCAAGATCCAACAGTCCCGTGTCTTGGACATTGCGTTCCCGGAACGCGGCACTCTCTCTCTCCTTGTGCACAACGACCTCAAGGACAAGATCACCCAGCCCCCCGCAGACACTGGGGTGTCTGTGAAGATAGATTTTGATCCCTTGGACCATCGGATTATTGCTGATCCGGCACATGCCCACAAACCCGTGCAGGAACGCCAACAGCTTGCATACAAGCTACACCGCCAACGTCTTCTCACTCTCTGCCTTCGTCTCCCTGACCCACTGGACAAAAGTGCCTCATGACACTTTTGTACAGTGGAAAGTAGCTCTCTCCGTCTCCTTCCAGTCTGCCTTGAGCAGTATCTGGAAGACCGAAACCTTCCGTCTGGCCCCCAAGCCAGTGCCATTGACACTGCCGCTGCCATGGTTATAGGATTAATAAGCTTGCTTATAGTCTTCTCCCCTCCTCTCCGTCTCTCTTATTTTAATTGTATCATTCTTTCTCTTCCCCTTAGCTAGTTTTATCGGTCATATTTCTGTTTTTTCTCTTATTTCTTCTGCCGCAGTTCTCTTGTGTCGCCATTAGCTAAAATGTGCAAGGCCTAGAAAAACCCACAATAAAAAGATTTTCACCTGTCCACTGACACGTAGGGTACTTGTAAGAGGCAATTTAACTTATTACAATACTATTGCGAGGAGGAACTTTCAAGTTGCATAGCCTTTACGTCCAGGTTACTAGCTAGCACAGGGTTTATATCATTAATGGAGGCGTGGTAACAAGGGACCGTAAACTATTTCAAGAGGATGCGCTCTTGAGAGAATAGATGTGCACTCCAATATTTAGGATCAGTCAAATAATATTTAGTTGACTAGGCGTATGGGGATGAGAATCAACTGTCAAAATAATAAAATGGGAAAAGTGTTTTTAACGAGGTAAAAAGAGATACTTTATTCATATTCACTAAAATTCCTCTAATAATGGCCTTCTCTGCCTCTTCCTCTCGCTCCTCTCGTCTACACTTCATTATTCTTTCTTCTCCAAATTCATTCTCCGAGGAGAGGCGGCCGCCAACCATCACGCACACCGTCTCAATACATCACTATATCAGATCTTTTCGTGTACCATTTGCTGTAATTAGTAATCTTTTCGAAGTGTATTTTCACTCTTCTACTGTTCGCCTAATCAAATCCATTCTCAAAAAGAAAAATGAAAATGATTTACGGACAAGTGTCATCTGTCTACCCCTATTTTTTTTAAAAAAAACTGGACAAACTAATTTACGTTGATGTCATCAATTTTCATAACAACATTATTTCAGATTCCAACTTTTTCATTTTTTCCCTTGACATGTATTAATTTCTGTATAGCAATTACATTCAAGATTACCCATCAAAGTAACTTTTTAAGCTGATATACTTGAACTTAACGGGTAATTTGTTTATATATAGTTTCAATAGGCGCACTTCTTCCAGCTTGGGGCGCTTGATTAATGAGATTACCACACGTTCTGGTGGCCAGGCGTGTCTAAAGATGAGTGGTGCGGCAACACCTCTTTAGCTGGTAACTCGTACACTATAACCCTGTCTTTTGTTGAGGTAATGTTATTATTATTATCATTAAATTAATATAGCACTTGTTCTTAATATAACATGCCAAATAATGTGCAAAGCAACAAACAATTGATACCTTAAAGAAACCCCATAAAATCAGTGAATTTATTGCAAAAAAAAAATCACAGATAGATTCTTTATCAGAAAATTCGTACAAGATGAGGAAGGATATTTTAAGGGACATTAAATAGAAACTTAGTGTAGAATTGGAGCAGATAGTTACCATGAATAAGCTTGAATAAACCCTTCAATCTCATAGATACATACACAAGGGCAGCAATACATTTCCAAAGCTTAAGTCAAAGGAAGAAAAATCCGCCTTCCTCGAGAACCTAGATTCAGACGGGCTCAAAGAAGAAACCAAAATTTGCAAAAGATCATTCTATAAATGCTATAAAGATTAAGGGTGGACAGATGAAAATATTTTATTTTGGGTTTTTCTAGGCCTTGCGCATTTTAGCATATTGGCTACCTGATGAGAGCTGGGGAATAATTGAAAATAATAAAAGTAACCCCCTAAATATGAGGGGGAATAAAAAAATATGTAAAAAGTGAAGGATAAATAAAGAAAAAGTATGGAACACGCATGACAGAGACAAAGATGAATAGTCAGCAAAAACAGTAAAGAGAGCACGTAAAAAACCCCCTGTGGGGGAAAACGGCTTTTAGAAAGACTAAGACTAAAATAGATAATACAGCTGGTAATAATACAGGTGAAATAAATATATAAGAAAAATAAATGACATGAAAGAATCGAGAATAAGTAACTAGGTACTGACGGCACCAGAATTGGGAACGGATTTCAGCAGGGATAGGAGCTCCAAAGAGGGATTCCTTTTAGAAACTCGGACGATCCATTTATGGATCCAGAATACACAACGATACCAGACCAAGTCCGTCCTCCTAGGCACAATTTCGAGCGGGCACAGATGGAGGGGGTTGACGAGGAACGGTGGAAATTTTGGAGAGAAGATGGGGGAACGGATCACCAGGAACAGGTTCTTGGGTGGGCGGCGGGATGCGGTGAGGACGGGTTGGTTTTGTGGCACGGAATTTTGCTGCAAGGTCGATGGGGATTTGACCATGAGCTTTTTCTTCTGGCAGTTTGTAGGATGAGGTGGTTTGATCAACAGCACGTAGCAAGGCAAGCAAGCACGGCCACCAATCGCACCACGTACCAGGCGATTTGAAAAACCTGGGGAGACAGTTGAGAGCATAGTCGATGAGATGAACCTCTGGAGGAGGAGCAGGATCCATCAAAGACCAGAGTTTTTGAACGAGAGTGATTGTGGCGGGGCATATAAGCATGTGGTTTTGGTTACCCTTGATAGCGCCACATTGGCACTCAACTGATGGTGTAGGTGGTAGCCAAGCAATTCGCCATTTGATCAGTCGGCGTCGTTCTGAACGAGTGCAGGGCAGTAGTAAGACCGGATCCCAGACAGGTTTGCACAAGCCTCTAGCGACGGTTACCGGACGGTTAACGCTCGCAAGTTGCATGTCGATTTCTTTTTGGCACAGTAGAACATAAGCTTCTTTTAATGGGTCCTTCAACCGGGGTTGATGTTCTTTCAGCAATTGGGCCTTTTTCCAGAGTACACTACGACGAAGCTCACCCCATGTCGTTTTTTCTTTGGAAAGTTCCAGCTGCGTGGTAAGAGCTTTGATCAGGGAGTCTGAGGGTAGTGTTTCAGCACGATGAAGAAATTTGGCTTGAAGAGCACGGGAACGGGTGAATAGGTTGGGTAGAGCAGCTAATGCAGCGATATGAACAACTCCCATAGTTGCATCGGGCCGTCGAATACATGTCTGGAGACACATATTTTGAGCCTTCTGCAGGATCTGAACGTCACTCCGGCTAGCAGGAACGATGGCTAAGCCGTACTCAAGAATGGGGTGGATAAAAATGAGATAATCTCTGAGGGCCGCAGGGAGACCAAAACCGTTCATGTGTACACCCGAACTACTAAGCTTACGCATTGCTGCGCAAGCTTTTTGCTGTGACTAAGGAACATGTCGGCTCGATCTATCCCTTGGCTAGCGAAAGGGAATCCTAAATATTTAAAGGAAGTGCAAGTGGGAAGAGTATTCCCGTATAAAGAAAAGGAAGAATTGGGAGGGGCATTGAGGACCTCGCATTTGGATGGACTCCACTTATACCCCAAATTGGGGTGGACAGACGAAAAGGGTCGAAGTGAGGTAAACCAATCATATTAATTTACAACTATCCACAACTTTTTTTTTTTAAAAAAAAAGCACTAATTTAATAAAACGGTTTAGATTTCTGAGCTTTTAAGTCTGTCAACCCCAGATGCTTCAATTTATTTGATCATTTTTTCCTGAAAATATGTAACAAAAGTTGATGTATAATTTTTTATTGAGAATTAGAAATCAAATGGTTTATTCATACTTTTTTCTGTTCTGGAAGTATACATATATATACAATTGAATACAAGGTATATGAATATGTTATATGTGTACGCATATTTGTACGCATACCAACGTGCGTCATTTTTTTGTGGGGAATATATATATATATTATTCACTTCTCAAGAGCCACTTGAATACGCTGTATACGAGCTTGGGTTTGTTGCATGAGTTTAGTAGCTACTGTCAGTCGTTTACGAGCATCTGCCAAAATATCCAATGCAGGTTGTAGTCGAGGTGGTTCTGCAATATCTGCAAATACTTCCAATTCTATTTTAAGCAATAAAAGTTTATTAATATTGCGAGTCCTGTACACATACATATCAATATCAACTTTTATGTATACATTTTCTATTGCTCTTCTTTAAAAATAAAAAAGATAAAAGGAAATAAAAGGGGAGAAGAAGAGTGTCTTATATATATATATATATATGCATTCATTATAGTATAAGTTTTTTACTTTTATTTTTATTATTTTTATTCTTGATATTATCACCATAAGTGCCTTAATTATTATTGTTATTATTATTGTGTATTTGCCTGCTATAAGACGTTCAATTTCTTTGCCTAGATCTTCTTGACTTTGATGAGCTGCCACCACCGACTTGTCAATATCACAAAGCACAGGGCCCAAAAGAGAACTTATTCCACGTGGTAAAATATTCGACTGGTCGGGTTCTTCATTCGGTTCTACCTTATTTGCTACAACCGAGGAGTCTTTATCACTCATTTCGACGAAACAATAATGAGGAAATCTATATATGTATATCTACCAAAAAAGATACACACACATACACACATGGACAGAAAGAGAAAGAGAGAAAGGGAGAAAGGGAAATATAGCGGTGTTTTAATCTAAAAAGTGATGTCAGCAGTAAAACTTTGGATAATTATGAAAGAAAAAAAAAAAGATAGAGAGAAATAAAATAAAATAAAATAAAAAAAAAGCTTGAATTTTTTTTTCTTTAATTATTTAAGTATATATATATAACATATATTTATTTAGGTGAGTTACGTTCCATTCCATTATATTCCGTTCAATTCAATTCAATTCCATCCTATATATGCATTATTCTATTTAAATACACACATACACACAAATACAATTCAGAATCGATCAAAATAAAAAAAAAATAATCTATCCATTAAATGCCTAAAAAAAACAAATAGCAAGAATTAATTAACTAAGAACAATTCCTTTTTTTTAATAAAAATTTCAAGTCATGGCAGAATCTACCAAGCCTCACTTTTACTTGCCCAAGATCTTCGACAATGAAGGTGGCTGGGGTCCTGCCACTAATGTCATTCCCAACCAATTCCGTGACATCCCCTATGCTCCCTACAGCAAGGGCGACAAGCTCGGTCGTGTTGCTGACTGGACTAACCCCGATGGCCAGAAGCAAGACAACAGAGAAGTGACAGGACGCCAGGGCAGAACCGGTTTCAACCGTTTCAACAGAGGTAAAAAAGAAAAAAGAAAAAAGAGAGACAGAGATAATAGAAGTAGATGGTGTAATGTGTATGCAAGATCTATTCATCATCACAAATTTTGTCTGGTAAAAATAATACTAATTATAATTGTGTGTGTGTGTTTTGCATGTGCTTACTTGTAGATCAACACCAGGCCTACGGTGCTTCTTTCGCTTCTGCATTCGCTTTCACCCACAACGAGGACGAATCTTCTTTCTCCGTCGTCGACAACCGCTCGGCAATTGCCAAGAAGATGGCTATCAAGGCATCCGGTGGTGCTCGCAGCCGCCCCCAGAACAACAAGGCCAACAACCAGGGAGGAGGTTACCGCACCGTCAACCAGCGCCCCCAGAACAACCGCCAGCAGCACCAGCAGCAGCAGCAGGGAGGTGGTCGCAGAAGATACGGCTACAAGGATTACGACAAGCCCCAGCGTGTTCGCAACGCCTCGATCAACATTGGTGCCGACTGGAAGGTCCTGGACGAGATCGAGTTCAACCGTATGGGCAAGTTGTCTTTCGGTATTCCCGAGGCTGTCGACATTGCATCCTATGGTGCTGTCAACTACTACAACAAGGCCTACGACCGTGTTAACACAAAGAACGAAAAGATGTTGCAGAACATCGAGCGCGTCAAGTACGATACCACCACATCCGAAGATCCTATCATTCAGCAGTTCATCAAAGACGACAAGGCTACCGTGTTTGCTTCTGATACCGTTCTTTCTCTGCTCATGTGCGCCACCCGCACTGTTTACCCTTGGGATATTGTTGTAAAGAAGGTCGGAAACAAGGTCATTCTCGACAAGCGTCCTGGAGGCGTGTTCGATTTCGTGACCGTGAACGAGAACACCTTTGATCCCCCTGCAGAAAACGAAAAGGAGACCATCAACTCCTGGTCTTCGCTCTGCACCGAAGCCACTTACATCAACAACAACTTTGCTCGCCAGGTTGTTGACCAGGCCAAGCTTTCGTTCGAGAACCCCAACCCATTCGCCTCTGAAGAGACCAAGAACCAGCTTGCTTCCTGCGGTTACCGTTACAGAGAGTTTGATCTTACTTCCAAGGCTGATGCTGCTGCTGCCGAGGGTAGTGAGGAGGAGGCTAACAAGGTCTCCATGATCGTCCGTACCGAGGTTGATGCTGCCATCAAGAACGGCAACCAGACCACTCTCATGACCGTCCGTGCTCTGAACGAGTTCGATCCTGCTGCCCAGGGCGCCGGTGGTGCTCTGTCGTGGAAGAAGAGCTTGGACTCTGCTCGTGGTGCTGTTGTAGCCACCGAGATGAAGAACAATGCTGCCAAGCTTGCCAGATGGGCTGTCCAGGCCATGTTGGCCGGTTCCGACCAGCTCAAGTTGGGTTATGTTGCCCGTATGAACCCCAAGGACAACACCCGCCACGTTGTGTTGGGTACCCAGGCTTACAAGCCCAAGGACTTTGCCAGCCAGATGAACCTTTCTCTCAACAACGGTTGGGGTATCGTCAAGGCTGTTGTTGACATGTGTCTTCAGTTGCCCGAGGGTGTCTATGTGTTGATGAAGGATCCTAACCGCCCCATGCTCCGTATCTATGCTGTTCCCGGCGAGGAGGATCTTGATGCCTATGAGGAGGACGATGAAGAGGAGGAGGAAGAGGAAGAAGAGGATGAGGAGTCCCAGAAATAAAATTAAGAATACAAAAAAAAGCTAAAATTCACTTGTCATTTTTGTTCTATCAAATAAAATAAAGTTGTATGTGTATCTATATAGTGGGTATAAAGAATATGTATATATATAAAAAGGGATCAAAAGGAGCAGGTTTTATATATGTATGTACAGTGGAGTTGTATTAATACAGACAGACAAGGTGTACAGGTTTTTGTACACAAGCACACTAGTATAAATATGTATTTTACAAAATACCCACAATGTTTATATGGAAATCCGGTTTCCATTATTTTCTATATTCCCTATATACATTATATTTATCCGTCTCACGTTTTTTTCGTTCTCCCCTCACCAATTTCGCCCCCTCCTTCAATTAACTCTCTTTGAAACCCTCAAATAAATTATACATATAAAAATTATATATAATTAATTAATTGATTATTATTGTATTCTATTATATAATAAGATAGTATATTATGTTTTTATATATGTATATATATATATATATAAAAAGCCCTCTTGTCTTTGTTTCCTCCTTCTCACCCCTTCTCTCTCTCTCTCTCTTTCTCTCTATTTTTTTTTCCTTTTTGTAATCTCTTTCTTTTATACACATACAAGTATTCCATTCTATTTTATTATTAAAATCTGATGAATTTCAATATCTTTAAAACCAAGCAAAAGACACCTCATGATCTCGTGCGGTACGTCAAGGACGCGATTCACAGACTCGATGGCTCAGACAGACGCAAGGTAATAAGAAGAGAAAGAAGAAACATTGCAAAGCCAAGTTTGCGAGTCCTCCAGGTTGTTGAGATGAACATTTAGGCAACCGAAGACATTTCAAAATACCTTGTTTCAATGAAGAACATTCTCTACGGTGAAGACGGTAAGCTATCTCTCTCTCGCTCTTTCTTTCGGTATACATTTTCTCTTATATGTAGATATGCACAAACACATACATTTTTATATTGCCTCTTTTATTTTCTGTATATACATACATATTGATTTATTTATTTTTATATATAAACTGTATAGATAGTGAACCCAGTCCAGATAGTGTTTCTCAGTTGGCTCAAGAGGTCTACAGTAATGACCTCTTGCAGTTACTGGTTCTTAATATTCACAGATTTGAGTTTGAGGCAAGTACATAATATTTTATTACTATTATATATATATACATGTAATATTTAAATTTACTGACTTAATTTTAATGATTTTGTTTCTTTCTTTTTTGTTCTGTAATATTTTTGCAGGCAAAAAAAGACGTTGCACAGATATTCAACAATCTCTTGAGACGAGTAATTGGAACCAGATGTCCAACAGTAGAATACCTGTGTACACGTGAAGAGGTGCTTTTCACACTTCTCAAGGGGTAAAGACTAAAGATCGCATATATATTTATTTAAAAAAGGGGGGCATGGTGAAGTGAGGTGAAGTGAAATGGGATAGGATAGGATGGGGTCGTGGGGGGGCTATGTATATAAGAAGGAAAAAAAAACTAATGTACAAAGTTAATGATAATAAAGAGAAATAATGTATAAAAGTATATTAACCTCTTTGTCTTTTTATTCTTAATATCTAAACACATATCAAAAATCAAAGGTATGAACAGCCAGAAGTTGCTTTGAATTGTGGTTTGATTCTGCGAGAATGCCTTCGACACGAGCCACTGGCCAAGATCATCCTGTACTCCCCACGGTTCTACCTTTTCTTTGATTATGTGGAAATGAGTACTTTTGATATCGCATCAGATGCATTTGCGTCATTTAAAGAGATTATGACCAAGCACAAGCAAATGGTGGCAGATTTCCTTGACACTCATTATGAAGAGGTAAAAGCAAGAAAATAAAAAAGGGGGGAATATTAAAAAAGATGGATAGAGATAGATAGAGAGGTTATACAATTGCGCTATTTCTTTTATAAATTATATTGTTCTTATGTACAAATGATTAACTTACCTATTACCTTTGTTATTTTTAATTCTTTATAGTTCTTTGAGCATTACAAGAGACTGTTATTATCTTCAAATTATGTTACAAAGCGACAATCATTAAAGGTAAACAAAGAAACATATTTATGTATGTAATTCTAATAATAATAATGATGATGATATATTTTATATCTATATAAAGTTGCTGGGAGAGATTTTGTTGGATAGATCAAACTTTAGTGTGATGACAAGATACATCAGTAGTGCAGACAACCTCAAGTTAATGATGAATCTGTTACGAGACCGCAGTCGAAACATTCAATTTGAAGCGTTTCATGTTTTCAAGGTAAAATATATTACTACTTGATGAATTATTTCTTTTTATATTAATTAAAATATATATATATCTTTAATAAGGTGTTTGTGGCCAATCCTAATAAGAATAAACCAATCTTGGATATTCTGGTCAAGAATCAAGATAAACTCATTGTCTTTTTGAGTAATTTCCACAACGATAGACAAGGTAAGGAAAATGAATAGAAAATCAAATAAAACAAAAAGACTGTGAGAAGATAGTTACAGTATATAGTATTGGTAGTGCCAGTAGTGGTTTGGTGAATAACTAGTATTCTTTGTCATTCTTTTATACATTAAAAAAAATCAAACCCAAAATTTTGATATTCATAAAACCTCTATTTATTTCTTTTTTGTGTGGATTTGGGTTGGATTTGGGTTGAATTTTGATTTTTGATTTTTTTTTTTTGATTTCGTATTGTAGATGATGAACAATTCAATGATGAAAAGGCATTTTTGGTCAAACAGATTCAAGAGCTAAAACCTGCTCAGGAGTAAGGTTAGCTCAAGCTTGCTTTTGCGTGCATACTCGTGTGTGTGTGTGTGTGTGTGTGTGATTTTTTATAACAAAAAAAAATAATTAAGCTTATGCTTATGCTTCTTAAGCTAAGCTAAAGCCAAAGCTAAGATTTTGTTTTTTTTTTGCTTTATTTACCTTTCTACACAATTGTATGTATGAGTGTGAAAGACAACAAAAAAATATATAAAGAGATTAAAGAGATATGTATATAATACACATATTGTGAATTGGGATAATTATTGATTTTTGGTTGGTTGGTTGAAATAATAATTATATACTTACCTTTACTTATACCCCTTCCTCTTCTTTACTTCCAATAATTTATGTGTCTTGACCCTATTTTCTGTACTTACTAAAGACTAGCTGTATATATATACTATTATTATAATTCCAGATTAATAACGATCGAACAAAAAGAAAGAAGAAAGAAAAAAACCTTAAAAACCATAGAATTGGTCCGGATAATTTTACCGGGACCGGATTTGGACCGGAAACCCTGTGCTACCACAGAGTCGGGACACACAGACTTTTCTGTACGACCTTTTCAGTACACGATCCTGAAACTTTGGTTTTTAAATCCCCGTATGCATTCTATTATATATACATATATTTAAGATTTATAATACGCGCATTAATGAACATGAAATAGAAAAACCAATTTGTTATCCGAGAGACCAAGCCTTTTAACTTTTAGAGTCAAATCAATATTTTAAATAGTACCATCGGAAGAAAGCAATAGCATATAGATACACCAATGGAATTGTGCTGTATAGTAGTATGCCACGCTACTGACAATGCTTTTTATTAATAATAATGGATAAATGCTACACATTCCAAATGAAATGATATGTTGTCATTCAAGAATAGTGCAAATTACAATCCTTCTTTTCAAAAAACAAAATTACTTTCAGGTCACATAGAATAACCATATTCGAAATAATATTAATAAGGCTCACACACATATATATATGTATCAAGTCATGATAAAGTCTAAAAAACATTTGCCGATATGTGAGAGACATCAGGCGTCAATTTCAGATTCCATAGTTAGAATGAAAACAAAAAGGTATATTGTGGTGCGACGGAAATACTATAAAAGCTGTTTACAGAAATATATTTTTCGCTTATATTTTTTGTAGGTATAAGCTGCCAAGTTGAAAGAGAAGAATTTGGGTAAGAAAGTTAAATGCAACATTCTTTCTTGATTTGGCACAAATTAAAAAGAAAAGAAGACATATATGTGTTCCACAATAGTTACCTAACTGTCAGAATTATAAATCAAAGGTATGCAGTGTTTCAGGTTAAAAGTCATAGAAGTGTAAAATAAGATGCTTCACTAGTGTTACTCAATAATAACTCTCTCTTTCTTTCTCTCAGTGTATGTATATATTAAGATGATATCAAAATTATTGCCCAATATCCTCGCATATCTCGCAACCTATGTTGGTAAAAAAAAGAGACAGACGCACCTGTTCCTTAGTTTGTAAGAAATTAACCGAACCGTTTTTAGATGCCTAGTGGAATAGAATCAAAGTTAATGAAGAAATTTTAAAAGACATGTTTGACGGCCCTAATTTTAAAGAAGCTCACCGAAACAATCCCCATCATGTATAAACATTACATTTTAAGAGACCTAGTTATTATCACAGCACAAGTCTCACAATTGCAACAAAGTTATCCCTGGTTAAAACACTTTTTATGCGATATTTCAGCCATACCACACATCTGTATTCGAGCGGCATATAATTGGAGTGATTGGAATTTATTATCCTACCTAGAAATATTTATAGGCTATGAGTCCAGTGTAATAAGAGACTTTTTCTCCAGATCGTCTATTTTACCTTGTCTTATCTATCTAACAATTAAAACAGCTTATTCAAAGTGTAGCTTTCATTTTTTATATGGGGCGTTTTTGAAGATATTCACCGCCTTTCTTTATGGCTAAAGTATCTTGAGCTTGCCTGAAACCTGAAACCGATGTGAATGTTATAAAAAAAATTAAACCAGCGTACACAACTAAATAAATAAGGTACAAAGATGCTGATTTTGATGCCCTTTGGGCTTTTTACTTTGCGCTCAAGTACCCAAATCTACATAGTCTTAATTTTAAAAAGTTTCTCTCTCTAGAAAAAACAATAGAAGTCTACTTGGACCAACGAAATAAATTACAAAGAAGAACCACAAAAAAGAACATTCTATCACTGATGGTTTATAACCAGCCATATAAGTCCCAACAACATTATCTGAACGAACTCAAAATATTTGCAGTATTAGATTATTTCATTCCCTGCCTAAATAAAGCAGAAGTACCATTAATAGTATTTAAAGGGTGGCCATTGACACGGTGGATTTTATCCACGGGTGTTTCTTGTATCGCTCATCGCAGTGAACTTCGAAGTAGTGACATAGCTGTAGAAATGACCCAAAATAGTTAAATAGCTCTTTTTATTTATTTAGTAATTAAATTGTCTTTCTACCCGTATTTATTTTCTTGTCACCGAGTTGGAAATTTGCACCACATAACCAACCCACCATGTGTCAATGCACAGACTATTTTTTTACAATTAATTTCTTATTTTACTTCTTTGCGTGTCTTTTAAGCCTAAAAATAATATTTTTCTACATTATTTTCTAAGTTTACTTCTAGCATGGCACTATATCATGCATACAGATATATATAATATACAGATGTCTTTAGTAAGCAAGGATATCAAAAAATAAAAAAAAGATTAATTTTACATTATATTTATTAAAGAAATGAGCGCATAAAGTATCATATTAACCGTATATATAGCGATACCCAAGTTTATTACTAGGAAAAAGGTAATAAGTTAAATGATATCTTTATATAATAAAAACAATAGCATTGGTATTGCTTTAAAACTGCTATCGGAATTATCGCTTTTTTTCTCATATTAAAAAAATGGATATAGGTATCTACTTTTAACGAAAGTAACAAAAGATAGTAATGTGCTTAAACATTGTATACTAAAACCAACTACAGTAAATGTTTTACAGTGCAAAGCACTTTCGATCATGCTAGTTATTTGCTAATTATTTCCTTAAGCATAGCTTTATATAATCATTATTTTTTTCTGTATATAGCCATCTAATTATTTATTTGTTAACCTTGGAGATAAGGGAAACCGCAAACAGAGCAAAGTATAAGCATCTACTAAATGAACAGTCAGTAAAGCGTTTTAGCGTAAAACGGAGCATAATAACAATATATGTATAAGTAAGATCTCAGAACATTTGTTTATAAACATCCTAGCTATAAGCTAGTTCTTAGGCGGAAGTTTTTATGTCATCATTGGTCTTTTTATATAAGAAAAAAATCATCTTATAGGTGTATAAAGCCTCAGATTAAGTGTTTTCAAATCATGCTAGCATTTTGCTAGATATCAAAATATATCTCATGTCATCACTGGCTTCTATCTATATCTATCTAATTATAATCTTTACTAACCTTGGGAATGCTGGAAACCGTGAACAAAGTAGAGTATAAACATCTACTAGATGAACAGTCAGTAGATGGTTTAAACGTAAAACGGGACATACTGAAATTAATCATTTAAATTGCATATATAATTATATGTAAATGAGACCTAAGAACATGTTTTTGTAAACATTCTGGCTATTAGCTAATGGTTTTAGCAGGAGTTTGTTGGCGTATTGGTCTTTTTGTATAATCAGATATTATTCTTATAGATGTATGAGACTTGAGAAAGTGTTTTTTCTATTTGGTAATTATACTAGCATTTGCTAGTTATTATAAATAATGTTCTCATCATTGGTCTCTATCCATAAGCGCGAAAGTGTTTAAAAATGTAAAGAAAAAAAAGTATTACATTACCTTTAAATTGTTGTATTAAAGATATCGTGTGTATGTTGTTGTAATTATATATATATCTACATGTGTACGTTCTTATTAAAACACGCGTAAAGATGCCTAAACGTTTTTTGAAAGACTAAAAAAAAACAGGTGAGTGCAGTAAATAAACCTTGCCATGTACGCCTGTAAACATCCACCCAAATGTAATATGAGGCTAATATTGGCTCACGAAAGCGTGCCATATACGCTGAACGGTCATATAAAAGAAGAAGAAGCACAGGCTCATTATCTTGGGAAGGTGGGTATAGTCAAAATAAAATAAAAAACCGTTGATAAAATAAATTGAGATTTTTAAATGTAAGGTGGCTATTATTTTCATACGTTGTAGCTGATACTTACTTTTGGTCGTTCTTTATAGCTATCTTTGTGGTTTGAATGGACTCTATGTATGCTGGCAATAGTACAGTACTCACCATAGGTATGAATACAGGAAAGAGAGGGAAAAAATATGCCCACACTCTATGACGTATTTTATTCCCATGGTTTGACATGGAAATTGATCTCATATGATTAGATGTAGATGTAAACATATGATGATGTCAGAAAGCTGCAGTGTCTTTGCCATCAAAGGCGTACTCACAAAGAACTGTTAAAAAATATTAAAGAAGTACACTCTGTACCTGATCGACATTTAATACTACTCGGATTATTTAAAAGCAGTGCCCGTGCTTAAGTTACACCGACCTACGTATATGGCCTTTCAGCTAGAAGAGAGGTGTTCCGTTTTAATATTAGAAAGGCGCAGCTCTAGAAAAAAAAACATATTTGGAACTGAATTTGATATACCTTTAAAAACCAACAACTTCAAAGTATTGCTTTGATATATCCTTATTATTCATACCTTTATTATATATATGAGAAGCCTAAAGGGCAAAATAATTATAGAGCCATTTTTTTGTTCTGTTTAGCATTACACTATTAGCCACTTGCTGTCAAATAATATATTGATAAGCACCAAAATATTTGATGTACAACTTTTGTCTTCTAGTTCAGGCCATATATAGAAAGTTAAGGAGGAGTATAGTATATACTCTATAGTTGAAGAGAATGATATTATTTGTGATATAGTAAAGATCCTATAATTTCTAATAACTTGTATATGATTGCCTTTCAGAAACCTAGCTTACAGAAAATACTCGTATTCTTTACATTGGCTCAGTTACAGCTAGTTATTAACCAAGACCATTTTTTCTCAATCAAGAAACTCAAGTATTCATGTAAGTAGCCGTGATCTCCTTTCTTTATTTATTCTTGAAACAAACAACACTCTTATAGTATCTTTAGCTCAAATTTGAACTTGAAAGTAAGAAAATCTCAGAGAAACTACAGAAGTACAAAAAAATATGAGCAACAGATTCTTTAAAGATATTCTGACTATTATTTACGCTTCATACTTCCTTTTTATTACTTTTATAATTTATTTACTAATAATATATATATAATTGAATTATTTCTGACAGGATAAGCTACAACTATTTTAGTCCGTTTGCCCGGTCAATAAAAATAATCTGCTATTATTTTTAATATTATTATGGTTTGAGGCAGCTTGTGTTTACTGTATGCTTATGATGCAATATTAGAATGTGTACATGATTTCCATAATACTGGAATGACTTGTATCCTTATTATTTCTTTTTTTTAAAAAAAAGAATAGTCTTATACTAATTCATATATATATATTTATATTCCAAATGTATACATATGTAGGTAGATGAGCGTGTATGTAAATATGTATTAGTTTGACAGGTGTATCTACAGACCCATACAATAAATGAAAGAAAAAAGTTTAAACTCAACTAAATAGAACATCTTTAATGCAAAGTTGTTGTGCTTTTTTTAAAAACTCTTCTCATTCAAATCTCACAATGTCTCAGCAAATCAATAAAAGTATTCCTAAGAAACGAAAAGAGCTTTCAGACTATGAAAAAGGACTTATTATTATCGGTGGTGCTCTCCATAATATTTCATTGACTGCCATTTCGGAGAAGACAGGCATACCCATGACAACTGTACATAGCACAGTTCAAAGATGGAAACAGAATGGCACGCCATTAACAGAAAAACACCAAGGACGTCCATCAATTTTGGGTGAGAGAGATTTACGCCAGCTTAAAAACGAAATGAAGAAAGATCGTAATGCCACACTTGGAGAACTCACAAACGCCATGAGACTCATGATTGGCAAGTACATTTGCAAGAATACCATCCGCAAAGCTATTCGTAAGATCGGAATGTCTTCTTGCCATCCTGTGTTTAAGCCAAGGCTATCCAGAACACATAAAAAGAAACGATTGTTGTTTGCTAAACGTTGCAAAGAAACCAATCAAAGATGGGATCGTGTGATTTGGAGCGATGAGTCTCGCTTTATGGTTTTCCCAAAGGATGGAAACCTTAGAATTTGGCGCTTTCCTCTGGAGAAGTTCAAGTCTGATTGTATCATGCCTAGAGTACAGTTTGGAGGTGGTTCGGTGATGGTTTGGGGCTGTGTGTGGGCAGGAGGAGTAGGCCCACTAAAAACGATTATTAACAGCCTTGACCAATTTGGCTATATAAACCTTTTGGAAAGAAAGTTGCTCCCATTTTATGGTCGCCTAAGTAAAAGACATGACGGGGAGTTTATTTACCAAGAAGACAATGCTCCTTGTCATAAGTCAAAACTTGTTGAGAACTGGAAAAAGACCCATAATGTACCAATAATGGAATGACCGCCGAATAGCCCAGATCTCAGTCCTATTGAGAACCTATGGGCTCATTTGGGTCGGATGGTAAGGGCAAGAGTACCAGCTCCAAGAACTATTAAGGAGCTAGACAAGGTTATCCATGAAGAATGGAAGAAAATACCGGTTGCAGTATGCAAGGCCTACTGCATGTCTATGCCAACTCGCATAGCCCGTATGAAGAAAGCCCGTGGTGATGTTACTAAATATTAAACTTTCAATAAAAGTTATTTTTCTTAATATTTAAAGGTTATATATTCTTATTCCAATGATTTTAAAAGTGGTTTCTTAAGTAAAAGTAGACAAACAATGAAGAGAGAGTTAAGGATGTTATTTTTTCACTTTGGCGGAAGCTAAAATTTTCTTTCATTTAATTGATGAGACTGTATATATATAAAAAGAAATTACTCAAGATATTTCAGTTTAAAAAGCTGAGCAGTTTTTTTTTTTTAAAAAAAATAAACCCTTGGACCTCAAGACTATATTTTCCTCACCGGAGAAACATTTATACATTAGATCCAATAAAAAAAACTTCCATTGGTTACCTCTAAAGAAAAACGCTAATGTTCGTTACACATTTTATAGAGTCTTATATAAGTAAACCTGGGGTCATTAATTATTGCTTTAGATAAGTAAACAAAAAAATAAAATAAGGTATGTATGTAGTTTGTTTGCATATTTTGGTAAAATACAACCTAATAGCCACACCCCTTTACAGTAACTAGATAGCCATGTGGTGTAAGACCAAAAGTTTATTAATTAAGCTTTAATTAGGCTTTCTATATTGGACAACCAAAGTTGTAAAGTGTTTCATGTAAGAAGTCACAAATAAAAAAGTATAATATGCTTGTCCGATGATTATAGAATGTAATTGATTTTCTTTCTCTTTCTCTCCCTCCCTTTTTCAAAATTTCAATGGTATCAATATTACTGCCAAATATCCTATCGTATATCGCAACACATATCAATAAGAAAGACCAGACCTCCTGTTCACTTGTCTGTAAGAGATGGACAGAGCCGTTTCTAAACGCTTATTGGGCCAAACTAGAGATCGATGAAAACAAATTAAGCACCATGTTCGCCACATCCACTCTTAACGAAGTCTACAGGAAGAACGTTCATCGTGTGTGGGCATTGGATCTCAAGCGGATAAATATAAGACATATAGGCTATGTTACACAGTTACAGCAAAGCTTCCCTGGAATAAAATATCTCTTTTGCGACGAAGAGAATCACGAAGATGAAAGCGACAACTGGATGATACGTTCTATTGATTGGATTAGTTGGAGATTTTTAACGCACCTGAGCATAAAATTGACCAGTAAACACTCTGGGCTAGAAGACATCTTTATGAACCTTTCGGTATCTCGCTCCCTTGCTCATTTTACGCTTAATTCAGAAAATAATGTCGAAGAGACCAACACTATGTTATGGACTCAATTTGAATCACTCCACCGCCACATGAGACAGTTAGAGTACCTTGATATCAACTATCCTCTTTCATCGATTTCGAAATATGATTTGGAAATGATAAAAACCATTGAACCGGCACACAAAATTACAAAGATTACTTTTCTTGATGTGAGAATTGATGGTTCTTGGCTATGCTATTTTGCATTGAAGTACCCGAACCTACTCAGTCTTAACATGAAGCCGTGCAAAGCTCGCAGACCATTAGTACAAGAGACTTACATAAACAAATACCAGGGACAGTTAATATTGCTGAAAACACTGAATCAGTTTTTTCCTTATTTAAAAATGGTACAGACACCTACGCATACTTGTAACAGATGGCCACTTTATATATTCTACATGACTCTTAATTACTTTAATATAAAGTTAGAGCGTGTTGTATTCGACACTCATGTATACAAGTCACTACTTATGGATAATCTCACTAAGTGTATTAAGCAAGTTTCAGAATCGGTGAAGATTATGTGGGTGACTATAACCGATTATCTGAACGCTAAACCGCGATCTCGCATTATTTTCAATTTATGCCCGAAGCTTGTTGAACTACACATTCTAGAACACCGAAGGATTGAAATGGAACATCTCTTGGATCAATGTCCAGTTTTGAGGTCATTATATATAGAGAATTCCACTACTTACCTCATAAACCCCTCGCGACATATAACAATCCCACACTCGTTACAAAAACTGGAATTCATCAACGTGTCTGTTCCTATACACCTATTCAACTACATATCTCTGCGTTGTAAACAACTTAAATATTTGAAGCTAAAGAGCGTTACATTTCTTATTCCTGAGTGGGACATAAATGGAAAAGCGCTCTTCGATATGCACATGTCGCAGTTGAAGACATTCATAATTTATAATTACAGTTATTGTTTTCAGCATGTCAGACATTATGCCATTGAGCAACTGGAGAATACGGATGGTAATTCACTACAACATCAAGAAAGCCAAGAAATATCATTTCGAACAAACTGGTACCACTTGTGTTTGGATAAAACAAACAGAAAAGAAAGACTTTTGGCGTGGGAGCTTGGAAGACGTGACATAGAGTTTTCCCAAAGATACTACAAAGACTTTGAGCGCAGAAAAAAACGTGAAAAAAAAAGAAAAGACATGATACGACATTGTGGATATGCACCTAAAAGGTTCTGGAAAAGAGATCTTCAATATGGTGTTATGATATTTCGATTCAAGTCTGTCAAAGAGTATTTTCTGGATGAAAAAAGAGAAATCGACAAAGATAAACACATACAGTCTCATCAATTAAATGAAAGAAAATTTTAGCTTCCGCCAAAGTGAAAAAATAACATCCTTAACTCTCTCTTCATTGTTTG